TTTTTTTTTTTTTTTACTTTTCTTCATAATTTTTTTTTTCACTTTGACGTTTAGAGTTTGGACTTATAAAAAATAATTTATTTTCATGGTTATTAATTGAATCGAACCGAGATACAAACCGAACCGACGTACGTGGTTATGGTGTGGTTATGGTTTTGACCGAACTGACCCTAAACCGAACAATTGCCATCCCTATTTCTAGCACCATTGTTTAGTTCCACGAATATTTCAGTTGAAGCTCTAGGAAACTCGGAATCTCAGCTTGATAGAGATTGTCTGACTTTAGCTTCAGTTGGTCCTAAATATGCAAATAATGTTCTTCCTTCACATATTCAGCATATTAGATGGTTATGTGGAAGTTTCATGTTCTGAAAATTTTCATTATATTTCTTTCTGTAAGCTATCTGCATTGTTAGATGAATCATGCAAGTTACAATTATACTAATTTGTTATTTAAAAAAATGTACACGTTAAATCATTATGAAGTCAAGAATATTATTGGAGCCCAACATTTAAGGTTTGCTGGTGACTAGTTATATGAGTGCGTGTTTGATACATATATACGGGGATATTATAATGGACAAGAAGTAATTTTATTTTTTTATTTTTTGTCATAATATAATGTCGGATGTAATTGTTTTTTCTGCTTATGTTTTTTGTAATTGTCGTCGTGCAGGTTTGATTGCTGAAATACGTCCAATGTAATCAATGGAATCACACGAATGAGAAATTCCCCATGAAGGAGGCATGTTGTCATTTGGTAGTGCAACTATTTAAATATGCCACGATTAAGCAGGAAGGTGGTGGTCATGTGTACAAAAAAGGCGTTCCAGGAGGAGACGTGAGGCAGATTAGTACCAGTACTTGATAGGTAGTTTATATTAAGTTCTTGAAAGGTTTTTGTAGCTTGATGGTTACACTTGCTAAATGTTCAATGACAATACCATTTGTTTTTGTCTATCTATGGTTCAATTTTTTTCTAGGTATGATTCAAATGATGTACTCGAAAATGAGTATTAAAATATTACATCTATCGTAATTTGAAGTTTGTAAGATTTTGTAGGTAAAAGGGAAATCAATGTGACTGAATTTGAAGGGGATGATGAACTGATGGATTGTATTGAATCGGCAAATTCACCTTAATTAAATATCATCAGCACAGGTACAAAAATATAGAGGAAAGAAAGGGATAAAAGAGTAAAAGGATCATCTAACAAACTACAACAAAAAGAATCTAATTGCACCTAACCATGTGCAAAGGACATGAGAAGTGAGTGAGCTAATAGGTGCTCCTCCTTATGAAATATTCCCAATGCCAGCTGATATGCTTATTCAATTATACATCCTATCAGATAAACTAACAATATTGATAAGCTATTTGCATAATAAATTCCAACAGCCCCTCTCAAGGTGGAAAATAGATATTTGCTATTCCCATCTTGGACAGTTGAGCCCGCAAGGTGACAGAAGACAATGCCTTGGTAAACATGTCAGCAAGCTGTGATTGAGTGTGAATATAAGATGTAGAAATGCATCCAGATCCGATTTGGTCTCTGATCAAGTGACAGTCCAACTCTATATGCTTAGTCCTCTCATGGAATACCGGGTTGGAAGCAATGTGCAATGCAGCCTGATTATCACAATGCAAGGTTACATGTTGTGAATGATGAAGTTGAAGGTCTTTTAGGATATACTTCAGCCATGTAATTTCACAGCAAGTGCTGGCCATAGATCTATACTCCGCCCATCAGATGAACGAGACACTACAGTTTGCTTTTTGTACTTCCATGAGATCAATGAATCATCAAGGAAAATACAGTAACCAGTTACTGATCTTCGATAATCAGGGCACGCAGCCCAATCAGAGTCGCAAAAGGCTCGAAGAATCAATAAAGATGAAGAAGAAAATAGAATACCTTGCCTGGAGCAAGCTTCAGATATTTGATTACCTTGTGGACTGCAACAAGATGTGTGTAAGTAGGCATTTCCATGTACTAACTGAGGTTTTGAATGGTATAACATATATCAGGTCTAGTCAGTGATAAGTACATCAATTTTTCGATCAATTTTCTGTGAAGTGTTGCATCAAGCAGAGCTTTTCCTGTATTCTTCCCCAACTTTAGGTTCTGATCCATAGGTACCTTTACTGGCTTAGCTCCAAGCATCCCTGTATTAGCCAATAAATCCAATGTATATTTATGTTGGGATATCACAATTCCCTTGCTGGATCTTGCAACTTCCAGTCCTAGAAAATACTTCAAGTCACCTAGTGTTCTGATTTTAAATTTGCTACTGAGAAACTTCTGAATTGTGCTTATCTGTTCCAAATTGGATCCGGCCACCACATTGTCATCTACATAAACGAGTAAGGCTGTAAAGGAGTGATCTGTGACCATAATGAAAAGGCTGTTGTCAGCCTTTGATTGAGAGAACCCAAACTCTATAAGTGCTGCAGAAAATGTAGAATACCACTATCTTGAGGCTTGTTTCAGGCCATAGATGCTTTTCAAAAGCTTGCAAACTTGGTTGGAGGTTCCTCTTATGTAACCTGGGGGTTTTTGCAAGTAAACCTCTTCGTGTAGGTCTCCATGTAAGAAGGCATTGCTTACATCAAATTGCTTCAAGTGCCAATTTTTTACTGCAGCTATTCCCAGCAAACATCTAACTGTTACAAGCTTTGTAACAGGTGAAAAGTTTCATTGTAATCTATTCCTTCCCTTTGGTTGTATCCTTTGGCCACAAGCCTTGCTTTGTGCCTTTCTATGCTCTCATCCGAATTGTACTTTAGTTTGTACACACATCTACATCCAATTGCTGTCTTTCCAGGTGGGAGATCAGTGAGGGTCTAATTTTTATTTAACTCAAGGGCCTCTATCTCTGAATCCATTGCTTTGCACCAATTAGGATCAATTACAGCTTGATGATAAGTGTTAGGTTCAAATGATTACAAATGGAAGTTGAGAAAGCCTTGAATTGAGGTGATAATTTATGGTAGGAAATTGTATTAGATAGTGGGAAAGCCTTACCTGCAGGGACTGAAGACCTTGCCTTGAGGGAAGATTGGGATTGTTGACTTGATGTAGCCTGGTGAAGTGGAAATCTTGCAAATGTTAAGGTGCTTTCTTGACTCTTGTAGATTTTCGAATGATAGGTGATATTTGAGGATTATCATCATCAATTTCAGGGTTATTGGGAATGGTTTGATCAGGTATATTGGGATTGGATAAATCAGGCACTTCATCAGATGTTGGTTCATGAATGTAATGTGTGATGTCAGGGAGTGGTTTCGTGAATACAAACTTAGTATCATCAGCAAGGTTTTCAGTCGCTTTATAAGGAAAATGAGTTTAATGAAATGTTACATCACTAGATATAAATATGGTTTTCGTTTGTAGGTTCATCAATTTGTATCCCTTCACCCCAAAACGATATCCCAAGAAGACACACTGGCGACTTCTAAGATCGAATTTTCTTCTTTCATGTGTTAAGGTGGAAGCAAAACAAAGACACCCAAAAATTCTAAGATGAGAATATGCAGGTGCACTCTTGAACAAGATTTCAAGGGCGATCTATTTTGTAATAATGACGTGGGAACTCTGTTTATCAGATATGTGGCAGTGAGAATAAATTCATTCCAGTAAAATAGTGGCAATCCTGATTGAAATTTCAAGGCTCGTGCAACATTCAATAAATGTTGATGTTTCCTTTCAATTATACCGTTTTGTTGAGGGGTCTCAATAGAACTTTTGTGGTGGATAATTCCTTTTTTATTGTAAAATTTAGTCAGCTTAAACTCAGGTCCATTGTCACTTCTGCACTAGTCCAGCTCTAGTTTGAATTTCAGCCCAAATCCAATACTCAATTATTTAAATTGTATTAAAGACACTACGATTATTAATTACTCTTTTCATGACATTTATGAGACGTGAATATCAGTGGGTAGCTCGGCCCAGAACCCCCCATCCATCATTCCGTCCCTCAATGGTTTCTTATGTTACATATGCTACGTAATTATTTCATTGACACCTCAAAAATAATCCCAAAAGGAGTCAGCAACATTCCTTTTCTTTTACATGGACAAAATACACTACTGGTTGACATTCTCAAACGACGAAATAGTGTTAAAGGACGAGAGATGTTTGAAGCCAATTATTACGAACAAAAATCATGACCATAAAATTGAATCAAATGATAAAAAGGGGGGGCCTATTTTCTCCTGACTTAGAAATTTGGAAAAGATTTTCTGACTCAGTATAGTGAATAATCAAATCCTTCATCCGTGACTCATAGAAAGCACAGCTCAATCGCTGATAGACGTTTGAGGTGGCTCTACCAATTGCATGATGTTATTTAGCTAATCTTGTCAGCTTTCATGCTTTAGTCCAGCAAATGAGGACCCTTTTTTTTGTTAAAAAATAGTCAAATGCAGATCCCTAGTTGAGTACACTAATCCCCAGTACCATAAAGCCTATGCTTTCAAGAGTTGAGGCTTTCAAGATTGAGTATCAGCCAGTGAAAAAAGAACAGAGAAGTCCCAGAAAGCATTCAATGGAGCAATAAAGATATCTATTCATTGATCTTGCTTGTCACGTTTGTCTACAAATAATTATTGACTACTCGATCATGATTATCATGTTTGAACCGTTTTTAGGATGAATGAAACGAGATTCATTGTGATTAAGCACTAGAAAAGTGTGATAATGTTCCCAATTCATGAAAGCAGTTACCCTTTCTTCTGTAGAAACTTTTGGAGTAATGAATGTCTGTCTTGGATTTGAAGTAATGTATTAATTATTCAGCCTTTCAGGTTTTTGGGTTTTCTTTTCTTCCACTAGTGGAAAAGTTGCTCTGCAGTCTAAGCATTCTAATTTATCCTTCTTTACACTGGTCATGTATTGGATTTGCTGCAGTTTTCTCTGACCAAAAAGTATTCATTTGTACGACTTTTTAGATTGGTTTCTGAGGAATCCTGCAGATATCCATAGTGGATTATGAGGTGTCTTGTTTGAGTGATTTGTTCAAGGAGGAAAGGATATTTCAGGGTGTAGAATCACTTGTTTGTGAAGCAATATGGCTATAACTCTGTCTACCTAGTCATCTGAGAGAAATCCAAGAAAATTTTGAACGGTGTGTTTGGCTTTTCTTTTCTTTTTTTTCTTTGGCGCCGGTGGCCGGGTGGGTAAGGGTGGGGGTACCCTTTTTATATCCAGCATTGCAATCATGCATGGTTTCCTTACACTGCCAAGAATTCATTCTTCTTTCTCACACAGACACAGAGAGAGACTAATAATCACTATAATCATTTGAGTTGCTAAATAAAATGAAAGGAAGATTCTTGTGTTTTCTTGTTTTCTTTCTGCATATATTGAGTTTAGTTTGTGTATCAAGCAGGCCTTTTCTTACTGCAAACGATGGCCATGCTCTCTTTAAGCAAGGTGGTGCTGCTATCTAAGTTATTATTTGCTTTATTTATTTATTTTCTTCTAATCTCCTCTTTTCAAGTATTTATCTCTAATTAATTGCTTGTCTTGAAGAAATACTAACATTGTATAATTTATATCCTCACAGCGAACACAGACAGAAGTACCTCGTCATTACAGATTGCTCCCAGCTCAAATGAGGTATCTTCGTGCATTTCTTGATGATCAAACATGCATAAATTGCACTTGCACACACATACTTTAAATACTTCCATGTGTAAACCCCCGTTTGGCAGGGCATCCATTTGTGCTTTTGCTTTCAGTAAAAAGAGTAGCTCGGATTAACTTCTTTGAAAAGCTTTTCTAGTCGACTAAATATCTCTATAAGAGTAACTTTTTAATCTCAGAAATAGTTTGACTTTTCAAATGAGCCCGAAGTAGTTTGAGTGGATACGACCTTGCACGGCCCAACCCACGTACCTGGCAGTAATGGACAACTCACTTCCTACATAGACCATTATTTCTCAAAGTGATACAAGGTTTTTTAGCTATTGGGAGTTGAGACAGCATCCTAGAAAAGTAGTGTGCTAGTAAAAAGTCAACATCCAACCTGGGTCGCGCGGTTGTTGTTTGCTTTACACTCCTGGATATTGTACACGAGTCACACGAAAGGCGTACGATAATCTTAATTATTTCTTTTTCTATTTTCCCTTTTAAAGGGCAATTACAAGAGGAAAAGTGGAGAAATGGAAGAAGGTGAATCCAAGGAAAAGAGCAAGATAGGATCAAAGCCACCGAGCTGTGAACACAAGTGTTATGGGTGCACGCCATGTGTAGCCATTCAAGTGCCCAATTCAAATACACTCCAATACACTAATTATTTACCTGAAGGCTGGAAATGCAAATGTGGACCTACCTTCTACACTCCTTAGCATACTCAATTCTTGATCATGTCAACAAATTTTTTGCCTAAATTTGTTTAGGTGAAGATTGTGCGGTTCACTTGTTTGGAAAATGCATCAGCTTGCAATATAATCACATTTTGAAAAAAATGCATTTCCTTTGCAGAATTGTCTCACGAAAAAATGTACTTAATATCAACCAAATGTTCTTAGATCGTATATCAAAAGATTGACGCCTAAGAGCATGTTTGGCTCAGCTTAAAAGTAAAAGAGAAAAAGGCCAAATTTTACTTATTTTGGTTTTTTTGTGTATCGTTCAAAAATGCTACAAGACACTGCAACTTTAAGAAAAACCACAAGTGAATATGCGACTTTTCATTTTTGCTGTGAAGCACAAAACAACATTAGTCTTTAAAGTTTAATGTTATGTTAAAAATATATTGTATAACTTCCTCTTCGAAAATTGTCATTATCTTACAATTTTCTGTTCTTCATATGTCTTGAAATTTAATTCCTTAAAATGTTAACTCATTGACCCACACATTGAACCAATGACTATTGACGAGGGCCGGGTCGATTATTGGGTAGATTTTGATGAGTATAGTTACAATACAAAACAATAATATATGTGTTGATTACCAAAATACATCGTTAAGGTCATGTAAAAATTTCGGAAGAATCAAATAATAATATCCGAATAAATCGACAAGTATGTCTTTGCATGGACTCTAAATTTGGCGATAAACCTGTGCAGAATATTTGGAGATTACAGCGAGAATTATGATAAGATTTTCTGAAATATGAACCATATATACGAGCATTTCTCACTTTTACATGCCCAAA